GAGATGTGGAAGCAGTAGCCTACACTTATTCTTCTGAATCTGAAAGGGACAAAAAACAACAACAATAGAACTGATATTGTATCATTTCCTCAATCTAGAAACACATCATTTTCATCACCCAGTTTCTATAGGTTGATCAATAGCTGCATTTGTTATTTTCTCACCTCAGGCCTTTAGAGTAGAAACTTAAAATAATAACTGCAGGGGGAAAATCACAGTCATTTTCCTTATCACCTTTTTCGACTTGTCCCGACTTTGCCTAAAACTGTTCTCTTCTATCCTTCCGTCAGGAAGTTGATTTGTCAATACAATAATGTTTGCGCTGTTCGTTACGGCACCCTTCTCTCCATGACTGCAAACAGCCCGAAGATGTCTAGCTAAGAAAACAGCAGAATTTGTTCTTCACTTTAAGTTAATTTGTATTGATCTAATACACTATCAACTGAATCTGCTTTGGTCTCTCAGATTCAATTCCCCCGCAGCTGCTGCAATATGTGATGGTTCATGGGACTATTGATTGGTTGACAGATCTTTCGTGCCCTGTTTGTGCAGTTCATGCGCCGTAGTGTTGGGCAGATACCTTTAAGGTGTCACAAGGTGGCAGCGCATGTCCAGTGTGCCGTTCGCTTGACATGCATTTGTCATTGCAGCCAAGCATGCTAAATTTTGCTGGCGTTTCTGCTGACAAAATCAATATTGGGTTGCTGCTCCTCTTATGAAGTGCACTTACATTAATATTTTAACTTGAGCCATAAGCCAAGTTTAGGCCTTCACTCATTCAACAGTTTCAAAGGCAGAGACCCTCATTGCTGTCTTATTGGGTTCGGTCAAAAGATGTGAACTGAGGAGTAAGATTTATTTTTGAAGCTAGTTCTTTGATTTGATGTCAAAGAAGATTTCTGATTATCAGTTGACATTATGTGAAAGTTGACCTGAGAAAAGGACTGCCATAAATTAAAAATTTGCCATCAGAATATATTTCATTATGTACCATGTATATTTGCCTTCAGTTACCAATAGAAAGTTGTAATAGTTGGCATTATAGAATGTCTTTGGCTGATTTGTCGATTAATTGATTCATTGCCTGATTTTAATCAATTAAATATAAATGCATCATGCAGGACAAGCAAGGTTGTTTCAAGGTACCTTTGTATAATTCTAGATTGCGTTAAAGCTTCAGCTGCATAGCACAGAGGTCATACATTGAATGGACAAAATCAGTTAGTGTTAAAACTAGCTGTTTAAGTAGCTACCATTTTAATAAAATATTTTAGATTTTCTGTCTGTATAAAGACAAAGTGTCACAAACATTTCTAGGTTATGTCTAACCCTAGGCCCTCTAATATTAGACCATTTGAAGTGTGGTCCATGTTTACTCTCAAGCCGTGTTCACATTGTGACTAACTTTGATCAGATACTGGCTTAATGACATCATTAAGATTATCAGATTAGAAAGGGGTCCCCATTTTACATTATGGACTATTGATGTTCATTAATTTATTTCCAGTCTGAGTTGGTTCGAATGCAAAATGGCCTCATTTCAACCTCTGTAAGGTCAGCAGGTTTTGTTGTTGTTATCAATTTTATTGAATAAAAATGTCAACTCATCGTCGGATTTATGATTGCAAATTGATTGGGGAAATGATTTGAAGATAGATAAGGAATGATTAACTGCTGAAAGAAGCAATGCGCTAAAAGCTAGATTTTTTTTTAGATTTTTTTTTCATTAAAAGAAACCTCTTTTGTATTTGCGTTGTGTTCCCTTGGGGGCTGGATGGATTGTTCGGGAGCTAATACATTTCAAGCATGATTGCAGTTAAAACCGTATCTTAGTGGAAGGAAATGAGGTAATTTTAGCACAGGAAACATTGGGATTAGCTTCATTATTTCTTCTCAAAAGAGCCAGATTGCGACTGAGAATCACGACAGATCAAGCGTGTGTGTGCAGCATGCAGGGGAGATGGCAGCTGTGACCACCAGTGATTGCAGCCATTGTTCTACCCATGGAACTGCTATCTATACTGTACACACCAACCACATAGCCTTGGAGAATTGATTTGTTTTCATATGCCTACGCTGATGATGTTTTTTGATGTTCAAATCAAGCACTGTGGCAGGAACATTTCCTTTCTGCAAACGTTGGTGAATTATTTTTTCCAACAAATGTATCTTATTTCGTAGTAACATGATTTGCCTATTACTGTACTTGTTCTTGAGAAATATATTTTATAAGTAAATTTTGATGCAGAAAGATTTTTAGGACACATGGATTCAATAATTCTTTTTTGTCCAGTAGAAAATACTGTGTGGGCAGTCACAACATAAGTCTCAGAAGAATAATAAAGGCAACTGATGAGAACTTTTTCACAGAGAACATGACCATATTAAGCCTCTGAACTACAAGGTTGTTAAAGATTTTAATGCTTTTTTCTCCATAGACGGTGATATCCCAAAGGAAAGCAAAATACCCTAAGTGTATGGAAGTCTTAAAATGTAGCCTAATGGATGGCATTTGATAGGTTTCTTTTTTTTCTTTTTTTTTTCATGGGTCTAGGGAAAAGATTGTTTATTTTAAGTGTTGCTCAGTTGACAAAACACTTAAATCCATTACATACATATAAAGTCATGTTGCTCCACCTGTTATAAATCATAATAATGATCATTTAAGTAATCAGTAAATGTGTCCACATTCAGGTGCTCTATATACTACAGTAAAGTAAATACAAAGGATTTTAAGGATATTTTACATAATTGGTATAAATACATACACAAAAAAGTGGGATTCATTAAATAAACAGTAAATGTACAAAATAAAAGTCGGAGATTTAAAAGAATGTATATGAATAATTTTTTTTTGTTATTTGTCCTTCAGTTATCATTTTAAATATAATATAATTCAATTTGCAATATGTCCTACAGTTAATGAATGGTTGTAAATGTGAGTCAAGGTTAAGCGAGGTAAATTCGTACTGTAATCAAACCACAAGAACTAGAGAGTAAATGTGATTTAAATCTAAATAATGATATTGGGTTAACTTTGTGACTGCAAGATAAAAGACATGCACATAAGAAAACAGTTTCATTGGATCTGTAAACATGAAGATTAGGTCCATACATTTTAGAATACTGTTATGGGTTTATTCCAAATCTCAGTGGTGAAAAAATCCAGATGAGATTTGGACAAAACCATCAGTACAATTCTAAAAGAAATATGGATGTTATCTTCATGAATTTTTTTTAAAATAGAAATGGATATTTGACAGAAAGGCAGTCAATCAAAAGCTGAGTGCTTTGTCAAATGCCGTGGACTTGACGTAATTCATCGTAAATCATCATCAACTTTATCCTAAAGTCACATGAAACCACCTGCGCCAGAGAATACCAGTGCTGGATCGCACTCAGTTGAACCCTTTTAAATCGCCCTAGTGACAGAGATGAGCATGCATTTGACAGACAGTAAAAACCCTATTGGTCATTTCTCTCCAATTCCCAGAGGTGAGAATGACTTCATGGAGAACAATGCAATTTGCACGGATCTTCATAGGTTAATTGTAATGGACAAAGGCTCATCTGCTGGGACACTAAGCTGTCAAGTAAACTAATTGACTGTATTGAGTCTGTTTGTGCCTTCGAGGCTGCATGATTTTTTTTTTTTTTTAGCCACAGAAAAGATATTGACCTAGCAAAAATAGATTTAAAAAATTGTATTTTACACTTCCGAGTTCATTGGTGGATCCACAATATTGCTGCAAAAGGGAAGGAGGGATGGCAAGGATGAAAATATAAACCACGGTAGACAGGGTCCATTTTGCTGTGATATGAACGGCAACAAAATTTAAAAAATGTTCAGTTATGTCTCATTTTGCATGTTATACTGTTTTTACAGAGGGAAAAGGGAGCACTCCTGTTGTATCCCCAATAATGATGATGCTCCTCTCTCTCTCTCGCTCTCTCTCTCTTTCAGTAGCAATATTTGCTACATAGGGCTTGCTTATATGTTTTGTTTCATAGAAGCAGTCAAGACACTTTCTGTTACCCCCCCCCCCCCGCCCCCAGGACCACCACCGCCTCCAGCTGCAGCATACCAGGTCACTAAGTATTGACTGTCATTAATTTACAATGTGTCATAATTCCCTGTCAGTCATGATCTAGCAATCTAATAACGTAACATTACTTACGCTTATGCAAGGAACCGACAGAGGCTTATCCTTACTACATTACATATGCAGCACACCATGATTAAGTCTAATGGATTCCTCCAGCGTTAACAATTAAGGGGTTTGCCCCCTGGCTGAACAGTTTAAGTCTCCCTGCTCGTAATCACTGTAATAATACAATCTAGGTAATTGCTTAAAACAGGTTGATTGGGGATTGACTTGGAAAGTGACTTATAGATTGTTAAGCTAGGTGATTAGTTCATTAGGACAGGTGGGAGAATATTATGCTTTAGATCTCAAAGGCAAAGGAACTTTTTTTTTCAAACCAAATAAAACATTGAGTTTTTTTTTATTGATTACCACATTAAAATATTTAAAAGTATAATGATCAGGGTGCCAGGGTGTATATATTTGCATTTTCTTAACCTGAGCAGTGTTTGTAACTGTAAAGAGATTGCCTGACACTACACACTATTATTTATTTATTCAGATTAGTTTTTGGTAAGTCAGAGAACATTGTTTATCAACAAAAACAAATTATGCCAGAGGAAATTACCCTAGAGTATCAATACAAAATTGTGTTAGCTCTTAATTTTGCTGCACCAGGTTTTGGAAAAAGAATCATTAAGAGCCAAATACTGTAAATAGAAACATCAAGTCTGAGAAAAGTTTTCTCATGAGCAAGCATTGTTGTTTTTCCAGATACATTTTAATTAGCAATATCAGAGTTTTAATAACAAAGTCATTTCCCTGATGGGCTTTAATTAAATAAGTATTTTAGTTTACTTAATTAGAATACCTCTACTGGACACTCCTTAATTACATTACTTCTTTTAATTGCAGAATTTGATCCCCATTAAAATGAAAGAAGATCTCTCTCTCCAAGGAAGTATGGCCAAGTTTCTCAGCACAGACACCAGGTCCAGGTTGATCACTCATCTTGGTATGGAGCCTGGGGATTTGGTCTTCTTGTCTGCTGGGGAGACTTATGCAACGGTAAATGGACTTTTTTTTTTGACAGAGTAAAGTAATTGGTGTTGGCCAGTGAAAACTTGCGTGATAGTGCTTTCTTCGTTTAAGTCGTTTAAGTTTCCTTTTAGAATGATATATGATTGTTTCTTTTTGCTTCTCTGTATGTGTGTGTCTATGCATCTGTCTGCCTGTTATTGATATGGCTGCTTTACATATGTAAATGGATGCACCTCTTCTCTCCTCCCCTCCCAGGTCTCTCTCTCCATCTCTCTCTCTCTCTCTCTCTCTCTCCATCTCTCTCTCTCTCTCTGTGTTATTGGATAAAATAAGTTAATCTTTTGTCTAACATATTAACATTTAGCACCAACAAATACCTCCACAGACTTTAAAAATCTGAAATATTTTCCTATCCCATACCATTACTCCTAAAGAAACGTGTATACTTAATAAACAGCTACAGATGTCTGTGTATTTCCTTACCTGGCTTATGTATTCTTTCAAAAATGCCTTTGGTGTAAGCCTCCGGACGTGGTCAAGAAGTTGACCTTGGTCAGCTTTTGCTTACTTACACTGTACCAAGTGAACTAATATTTTTCCAGCTATAGGACGAAAGATTCAGACTCCCCCTTTCTCCGTTTCAATGTGTATTTTGGTAATTCTGGCCTTGAGATGCTTATGCAGGGTATTTGCAGGCTTATCCTCAGTCATTTCCTTTGATTTTTCATTCATGAAATCAGCATATTGATCGGGAAATGTAACAGTTCATTTGCGCTTTTGTCCCCGCCAACCGGGCCATTGTAATTGGCAAGTTTAGTGTTGGGCCATTCGGTTGCCTTTCACAACAGTGCGAACTAGTTGGCTTTTTGTGTGTTCATTCGGACGGATTAAGCAATGCAGTTCACGCACACAGGACCAACAATTAGCACCGCATAAAATAATATTAGTAATAATAGTTTTGTGTGCCCAGGTGATGTATTAGAACCCCGTGCTGCAATATGCTGTAACTGTTCCGTGTTCCCTCCAGCGTATTGCCCCCGTACTCGATAACCTGCAAGCTACTCACTCGTGTTTTCTTATCATTAATAATTGATTTCAGTTATTCCCAAGGATATTTGTGGCTGCTCTTGCACGAGTTAGAAGACTGAATGAACTCGAGTAATCTTTCATTAGAATTTTAGTTAACAGTAAGAAGATATCTACAACTTTGTTTCTCTCATGTAATAATTCTATTAATTTTTGGATGATGACATTAGGTTAAAAGTTCATCAATTTCATTTCAAGTAATGCAGTGTACCCTTTTTACTTATTCTTTGCTAAACATAAATTTTCTTTTATTTCTCTCTTTACCATCTGCACTTTTTAGTAAACAAGAATTCAGCTATTTTGGTACAAAACTGCTGATTCAGAAATAAAAGAAACATTTCCAGTTATATTCTATAATTGACATGAAACAAGAAAGCAACTCCTTGCATGGCCCTACAACTATGGAAATATTTATGCACCAGTACAGCCTATCAATTATATATGTAAATATTAACAGACATATCGAATGGTCACACATTTCTCTGTTTAGTCTCAAACCATTCAATCTGTTGTCAAAGCAGAAAAAGATTTCATTGAATGATACTCAGTCCAGAAGCCCTATCAGTTCCAAGCACTTCTATTATGTCTGAGTGCTGTGACAAAAAGCAGGCTATATTTTTCCTTGTGCACACAAGTTACGTAAACTTTTGATACACATGACAAATACTGTACCAGCTGACTTTGACATAAAAGAAAGGAATAAGTTAATGGAGTCACGGTTCTATTTCACTACTTTAGAACTGTTGTTTGCATTGCACTTAAACTTTTAGGAAAATAGCTTGTGGTGTATATGTTACTAACATTTTTTTCTCATTTCCAAACTATACTGCCATATAATATTGAAGGAACCATGCTTATTTTCTTAATTAAAAGTAAATTATGTGTCTGAAAGATTGCTGATATATGTCAGATTTTGGAGAGGGTGTTGGTTTGATTCATGCAACTAAGCAACATATTGATTTAACCCATAGATAGAATAAAGCTTATTTTGACATTTTGATCAATGCTTCATATTCAAACCTTCATCCATCTGTGTAGATGTCACAAACATGAATCCTCACATAGGCATACATGAATTTGACAGCAACAGGTTTCCCATCTGTATCATTCAGCTATTTCTGAAAGATGGCTTCCCGTTGCTTATATAATCAGAATCACAATAAATGTTCAAAACTTGTGATGTAATCGCATGTGTCACGGTTTACCGTCTTTGCGCACTCATTATCAACATAGCGTGTGTGTAATCTGAAAATCAGACTTTCGCTTACCTACAATGTGTGTGTTTTCGCAACCTCACATGCCAAGCTAATGCACAAATGTTGAAGAGACCGTGTGGTATTGTTCATGGTTGACTAACCTAATTGTAATGGATCGCCCTCGTTGCATTGAGAGACACACTCGCAGTGGTTTGTTTCTACACTGAGAAAAAAGCCCCAGTGTTGGGATGCCACAGGCGATCCTATATTCCATTTCATATTTATAACCCTCTTAATAGCAGCTATAAAATACAATTATTTTCTTTTCTTTTCTTAGTGCGCGCTCCTTGGAAGAGTCAGACTAGAGAGCACAAACAGTTTTGACGAAGAAGGTATTGTATAACACGATCAAATAACTATGTCAACACATCCTTCGGCGTAAAAACCCACTTGTATTGAAGGAGGGGGAATTATTCACTATTATCCATTAGTTCTCATTCAGTCGCGTTTAAGTTAATGGAGAGGGTTAAGAGCCCATGATGTGCTTCATCCTTGCTTTATAATAGGTTTTCTATTGTTCACGTGTCGTAAGCTAATGTTCAGGCAGAATTATTTTCCTTGGATTAACGTTGTAGAATGTCTCCAGTTCCAGCGTTCTTGTTGAGGCGTATTCACAGTTTGATTCCAGATGGAACTGAAACCAGTTTGCTTTGATCAGAATTTAAATGTTATTTCCTGCCAAAAGGATATTATTACATGGTCCGGTGTGTTTGAGTTCACATTGCATTTTCTTTCTCAGTTTTTTAGTATATCACACATATATTAAAAAGTATATATTAAGTATTAACAGATATAATGCTTGGAAATTATGTCACATCATTTGAGCACAGGAAGGAATTGGTTGTCAAATTCTGTGCTTATTAAGAAAGGTCTTTTGGAAGGTCACATAATGATCTTTCAATTAAAAAAAGTTTTGGGTTAAAAAAAACAGTCATGAAGTACCCTTAATCAAATTGGAAGTGTCCTATATTCCGTTTGGTTCAGTTATCAATTCATATTTAGTGTATGATAGCCATCATCAGATTTCAATAGACTAATACACCTTGGGTACTTGATAAACACACATTTGCCAATTTAGCTAAGTTAACACAGTTTATAATGTACTTCCTAAGTAGTCCTAGATTGAGAATTTTAGCACCTACCCGAAAGTTTACATTTTATCATAACTGTGACAAATGTAGCGTACACAGTTCAAACTGACCAATAGAGGAGAGGTCAGAGGTGGGATGTGATAGGGAACCATTGGGAGTGCAAGAACAACAACTCTGGGGGAACAAAAAGTTGTTTTTGGCACTTCCGTTTGTTGTTGCCCCGCCCATTGCACTGAGAAATATTGCATTAGGATTTATTGTATTGGTCTGCTTTTGCTGGACAACATCACCGATCAGTTTACTTAACCCTTGACCATTGTACCGGACGTAGGAAAAGTGGATAATGTCATGAGAATTGTCAGAATGTCAACAAGCTAGATCGCACTTTAATAATAAAATGCCCATTTTTTTCCTTAATGAATATGTAAATAGGCAGCTTACGTCTGTTTGCTTTTATAAATATGTGATATTAGAAAGTGTTTAATCTTTCCAAAAAGGTGATATTTTGAGGTGAATTCTTTGTTATTATTAGGTACAAGAAAAGTTTATGTATTGGAGAAGTGGGAGGTTAATAAAACAGCCCCTTTCCCCCTGAGAATGCCTTTAACTTAAGGGGGATTCTTTTAGCAGTAATTGTGTCAGTGCAGAGCTAGAGTTTGGCTGCATGGTCTGAGACAATTAAATCTTTTACTCTGACACTGAGGCCCTTACACTTATCTATATTTGAAACACAGTGGGGTGGTCCTACACGTAATTAAACTATGCTTTTTTCTCCCTTTCTCAAGTTAGCTTCCATGTGTTTGGGCCAATCAAAATTGGCGATGACAAGCTTATGGGTTCTGTTTAGGTGACTCTCTTATGTAATAGCCAGGCTGATTTTAGAATAAAAAATATCAGTAATTGAATCATTTCTGTTTTTTATTTTCTAGAAGTAGATAAAAACACCCTTAAATGTCTGTCAGTTTTACTGCTTGCTTTAAGTTTATGATACAAGCTTATTACACACATTCCAGTTAGCATTTAGTTGTGATATTACTTACAGCTAAGATCTAATATACCGTTTATTAGATCTTAGCTTACAGTGTATATTTGTTTGTTTTTAGAGAGAAGAAAGCTTCAAGATCCGAGTGCCCTTAATTTCTTGTGGGTATATGACTTTCCATTGTTCCTGCCAAAAGAAGATGGCACAGGTAAGCAACCCCCTTCTTTTTCTTTGACTCTTTGCATGTAGGTTGTTAATTAATAAAATCAACAAAGACAGAGGCAATATAGATTACATAAAGTCCTAATCTCTATTAATAAAATAATTAATAAAATAATATCCCATCTCTCTTTGCTGTGGTGACAAACTGCTTAAAGTAGTACTTTTTTCATTTTTAAAAAATAAAATGTATTTGAATTCAAATTATTAGGTATAAATCATCTTCACCAAAAATTAGTCACTTTTGTGTTGATGAATGGTATAAATTATGTACTTTGCTAGATCGGAGATACTAATTGATTTTCTTTGATTTATTTGACGTGACATAACCAGTTCATATTAAAAAAAGGCATTATTTAGATGTTATTGAAGTCAAGATGATGATATCTTTCTTTCTCCTTTCTTCACCATCCTCAAGCATTGTTACATGTACACCACTCCCAGTGGGAGGCAGGAGTAAAAAGCACAGTGGTATAATTTAGAGCCCCCAGTGGTTCAATTTTAACCTTGGATGAATCTCCTTTCAATTTACTAGCATACAAGGTCATTTTAGCATAATAGATTAAATTTAGAACCAAAAGTTAGTACAATTGAACAAACGTAAGCCCTGATTCCTGTTAAGAGATGTTTAATTTAAATTTTAGTAAGGCGATTGCTATAAGTTAATCAAACTCTTTGGTAGTTCTTAAGAATTAGTGGTTAGTGGTTATATATTAACATGTGCTTGTCAGCGTGATAAATTAAAATCTCAGTTTGATAGCGGTGACGTGGTTGACGTTCAGACCACCTCATATTAAGAGAGGTATACATTGCAGCACTTATGCTATCTCATTACCTGTCCAACAAATGAACCTATTAGGCCTCCCGCAGACTTCCTCAATACGCTCATCTTCTGCTCGTAGATTTTTGATTGCAAACAACAGATCCGTGCACCTTCCAGGCTTCTAGGCTTTCTGATACACAGACGACAATGGATGGAAGGAAGAGAAAGAAAACTGAGATCAGCGGGGGTTGTGGGAATAGCGGGTGGAAAATAAGGTTTATCTGGGCTCATAATCAGGCCTTGTCAAGAACATCGAGCCTGTCACTATAAGGGATATAGAGACATTACACCTTTGCTTTTCCCCCTCCCTCTTTGTTGTGGAGGGGGGGGGGGGAGGGGCAGGATCCTACTGTAGAATGTATTTCAGGAGAATATCATAATTTGATGTTAACCATGGTTAACTGGCTCAAAATACGTATTCTACCTAATTTCTACCCTCCTTAGAATTAATTATTTGCAAAATACACAGTTATAGTACAGAACACTTTTACCACATCTTGNAAGGGGGGGGGGCGGGGGGGGGGGCAGGATCCTACTGTAGAATGTATTTCAGGAGAATATCATAATATGATGTTAACCATGGTTAACTGGCTCAAAATACGTATTCTACTTAATTTCTACCCTCCTTAGAATTTATTATTTGCAAAACATACAGTTATAATACATTTTAGGATGACTGATTGGCTGACCAGAGCTCATCATCCTTTGATTTGCTGCCCCCAAAGTAATAACACACCTCTTGATTTCTCAAGTAGGGTTCAATTTAAAGATCTCATAATGTCACCGAATTGATGACAGTCTTCTAGAATTTTCAAGTAGAAGTCAATTTAGACATCTAATAATGTCTCCGTAATGTTATTGCTTTTTTTTGATGGGCGATAACAGAGAGGTGGGTGTGGTGAATGGATGTCTTCATTTTGTTACTTTTATGAAAATGTGTGAGTAGTACAGAAGGCACAAAAGTTGCCTGAAAAGTCATTTTGTCGGCTTCTTTGTAACTTACGTGTGTTACGAAGCACAGGCGTAAGCAGGATTATCACAAATAAATTGAAATGGTGTGTGATTTGGTTACACAATGAAGTTGGCTAGTGAGCATGCAGTCTCTCTCTCTCTCTCTTTCTCAAAACTGTTTTGTCTATAAAAGTATTTAGACTGTAGGCCTCTTATTGATTTGTGTCAGATTAAAGAAAGCCAGATTATATCATAATTTTAATTATGATTAGTGTTAATCCAAACAGTACAGGATTTTTATCCAGACAATGTAATGGATTGTTTGCATATCCCATTTTATAATAATATATAGCACCATCTCTTGAGGCATTACAATAAAGTTAAGATCAAACATATATTTGAGGTGCCTATGCTTCTTACAATGTACACATTTCTTTCACAGTTATGTTTTTATAATACAGTAACTTTATGTTATAGCATGTTCCTTTTTTTTTTTTTTTTTTTTGTTAATTTTGTCATGCTGTGTCATGATCTGCCGTTTTATGTCATGTCATGCTGTGTCAAAATTATTGTCAGGTTGAAGGAAATTGAGAATTGTTTTTAATGAGGATTGGATTCTCATGTGCCTGAGTATTTTCAATGTTATTTGAAGATTAATCTTTGAAAAAGAGTATAATATTTTTCAATACAACAGAAATGCCCAATCACTATCGCGCCATCTTTGCTAATGCAGCATTGACAAACCATTGCAGTAGTTCTGTTTACCTAACCTTATTTACGAAATATTTAAAATAAACTCCTTGAGGAAATTGTAACCATCTTGACAAAAGTTTTTACTCTCAATGGTGACAGTAGCCCATTTAGGTATGTCAAATAAATTGACTGTAGACCAATCAATTTTAGAAGCTCCAATACCAGTATAGCACTGTTGACTCTACACAGTCTGCTATCTAATTTTAGCAGTCATTGTTTAGCCCAAGAACTTTTGGTAGCATACTCTTTTTGGGGACCCAGCAATGTAAGGAAGTAAATGAATTAGATGTGACAAAATAAATTGTAGCCTCCCTGTCCTTCCTTTCAAGTTACATAGACAGCTCTGAATGTCTTGATGAAAATGGAAAGACAATTAAGGAGCTAAGCCTAGGTGTTCTTTGCAGTTGGATATATTCTGAGCATATTTATTTATTTAATTATTTTTTTTTTTGGGGGGAGGGAGGTATCATTATGTATTTTTCTCTCTCAAACTGCCTCCCAAACATCACTAGGCTGAGCATGATTGTCACTTTACAAATGAGCTACAAAACATGTTCAAGCCATTTTATACATGTACAGCAGGCAACATGTTCATGACCAGAGAATACTACTGGTTTCATTCAACAACTTAAGGGAAAAATATAAATAATAGAAATAATTATTTATGAATTAAAACCATCCTCGATTTCTATTTGTTTAACATTCAAGTTTGTCATGGTTGTAGAATGTCTTTAGTTAAAACACTGTTATTAATAGTGATGACAACAGTTACAGTTCTGTACCATTGCAAGAAAGGGGGGGGGGGGGGGTACTTTACACTGCCTAGTTGGATTTCCAGAAGTTAACTATTTCAGTCAAAACCTCTAATTAAATGACTTTGACACTCTCTCTCTCTCTCTCTCTCTCTCAATTTTAAGTAGCATTTGTAGATTCTATTTATATTATGAATATAAATAGCATGAAAGCTTAATTTTGTTCTTGTCTGTAATATTGTTATTAAATAGTTGCAATTGAGATTAACAACTGTACAATAAATATTTTTAGCAGTAATTTGCATATTGTAAATCCTTTATTTACCGGGATTATCTATTTACTACTTATTAAACATACATGCCTATCACTTTTCTTCCATTCAATCATAAATTTAGTTGCGAGCTGAGCTCAACGCATTTTTGAAATGTCCTTGGAGACCACTTCTTTTTCTGCAGAATTAATAAACTAAATGTTGTGTATGGTAAGCATCTATTAAACCAAGATGTGAGTGAACATATATGTGATTGAAAGAGTCCCACAAGTCGCATCAAAATGGCTTATTGATCATAAAGGCTCATCAATTTGTCATCAAAAAGGAATTAGTCAATGGATCGAGGCAAATTAATGACCTATTTACTGGTTTGATGATTTACGGTATGTTCAAGCTTTTTTCCTTGGGGGAGATTGTGGAGTTCGAGAGTTCATGGATTGGAATTTTGAACCTTGTTTCATCTTCCATTTTTGATTGATTGTGCCATAATAAATAAAACAGCATCAATAACGGCAAAATCCCTGGAGTTGAGATTTTTATGAAGATGCACTGAGCCTGGATGACCTGTCTGTGAAATTCTTTGCTCTCCATATATCAAACAGACAAAAGCATGATTTAATAGTCGGAAAAAAAGAAAAAAGAGATGATCATGATGAGAGTTAATTAATGATTGACTGATGTTTGATGAAACTATTAACTCGCTTACTTTGGGTATTCTGGAAATTATATGATTTTTTTCTATTTGTTGTCTTAGACCCCATTCCCATAGATTTAAGTTCGATCTATCTCTGTGGGGAGTCTCACTAGATTACTGTCAGCTTAGCCAGCTTAAGCGTCTGTCCCGCCTACTAAAAGCTGTAAGGGGGTAATTAACTATGGTGCAGGCTCGGCTGACTCCAATTTAGCGTGAACCCCCAGGGAGTTAGGTTGATCTAAATCTAAATTTCTGGATCGATCTAAATCTCTGGGAATGCACCCTTAGCTATGCTCCTAACCCTGTAAAATCATACACTTACACTGACACACACATGCACACATGCACGCGCACACACACAAACTAAGTAATATTGCAATCATGATTTTATTAAATAAGTAGTAGCTACAAAATGCTATATCTGACCCTGTACATTAGATTTTTAAAAAAGAAAAAAGTGCCCTTTTCCAAATGAACTGACCAACTTTAGGGGTTTTTTAATAGGCAGAGAGGTATATTATGTATGCTGTTGCTTAAGTTTTGGTGACATCTTAGAAATGATAATATTAATAATTTATTGAACTCTCAATGATACATATGATACTTATGTAGGTTCCTTTTACTGTGGTTCAGCACATAAGAGAGGGATCCATCATGTACATGTATTCCATATCCGTATCCACAGTGTAAGCATTATATCTAGTACAGTTAATATCAATATTTCTAATGTTTCAGAGGGTCTGGAATCTGCTCACCATCCATTCACAGCCCCTCAGCCAGGGCAGGAAGAACTGTTATATACTCACCCAGAGAAGGTATAGTACTGGTCATTGCGTTAGGGGCGACATTGTGTTGGTTGATTTTCAGAGATGTGACCAAATCGTTTTCTCAAGTATCTTCTTGGGAATGTTTAAGGTCTGTATTTGCTCAGACAGAAGCTTTTTTTCTGCAGAATGTATAAAGTCTTATATTTTAAATTCTGAATAAATTCATAAATTTATGCTCCCCTACCGGACCCCAGAGCCCAGGACATGTGCTCTCTTGTTGATTTCAGGTCCAAGGTCAGCATTATGACCTGGTGCTAAATGGGACTGAGATTGGAGGAGGGTCCATAAGAATTCATAATTCCCAAATGCAAAGATATGTACTAGAAGAAATCTTGAAGGTAATCACAAAATATATTTTTCTTTATTTGTGTGGTTGTGTTATTGCATGTGTGCGTGATGTGTGTACTTTACCGGGGTGGAGGGCAAAAATCCATTATTCATGCACTGTTGCATGGCTTCTAAATCCAGCGTATAATTAAGATTGTACAATTAATGCAGTATTGATGTTGTGATTAAAAAACAAATTTTCATAATATTTGATTAGTTTCCAGTGCACTGTGAATGGTTTTGAACTTTATTTCTCATTTCAGGAGGATTCCAGCCAGCTTAATCACTTACTTCAGGCATTAGACTCAGGATGCCCACCACATGGGGGTATAGCACTAGGTAAGCTTGTTATTCAGGGTGTCCACCACATGGGGGTATAGCACTAGGTAAGCTTGTTACCCAGGGTGCCCACCATATGAGGGTGTAGCACTAGGTAAGCTTGTTACTCAGGGTGTCTCCCACATGGGGATATAGCACTAGGTAAGCTTGTTACTCAGGGTGCCCACCACATGGGGGTATAGCACTAGGTAAGCTTGTTACTCAGGGTGTCCATCACATGGGGGTGTAGCACTACGTTAGCTTGTTACTCAGGGTGTTTACACATGAGGGTATAGTACAATAAGGCAATGCTAGTATGATGTCAGGAAAACATTTTCCATTGATGATTTTTTATTTATATAACATTGAAATGAATCAGTCAGAGGGTTGATTCATATTTTGTATTAATGTTTCAAATATTTTACTTAATGTTAATTCATTAATTTTATTAAATTTTTGTAAGAAATTTATATTACTGGAACAATTCACTTAGAGCAATTTGTATCTTTTGAACATAGAACAGTGATCTCCTTTTAATCTTCCTCAGTGTATAATTAATTATCGTCTCTACAGGTTTGGACAGACTGGTTGCAATTGCATGTCAGGCCAACAGTATTCGTGATGTGATCGCTTTTCCCAAGACTTCTGTAGGAAGAGACATCATGAGTGATGCTCCAGCAAGAATTTCTGCGGAAGAACAAAATTATTATCATATTAAAGTGACTGATGACGGCACATGACATATGGTTATGTCAGTAGGTATATGACAGTGGTATATATTATAAAGGTAAATTTTAACAGAGGGATGTTGTATGATCTTTAGAGCAGCTGCTTTATGCTTCTGGAAAGCTTGAGTTATGTATGTCATCTTTTAAAAACTTGTGCTGATGTCAGCTATTGAGAGTAAAAGATAATGACAGTTACCCTTGCTGGACTTATTCAATTCTCTCTTTTGAAAAAAAAATGACATTTCTTATTTTCTGAAAACACACTTTGCTCGATAATTTATGAAGAATCTGATGTTAATATTGATAACATTGGGACATAACTGCTTTTCTTCCTTTTTAAGTCCATAATAAGACCCAAAGGGGTCTACAATGGGTGGGTGTACTCTGGTTTTTAAACAATATTGTATGTGCAAACGTGGCTATTAAATCAATGCAAAAACCAAAAGAAAAAAAAAAAGAAAGAAAAATCCTCTCTGCCATTTTAGTAAAATCTTTGATTTGCCATTGGAATTTTCAAGTCACAGATTAAACTTATCTAAAAAAAACTGAAATAGGTGGAATTCAATGTTTTAAAGGGTTTGTGAAAACACAGGTTTATATTAGAAATGAATCATTCTCTTACTGTCCTTTGTTTTCATTCAGTTTTTCCTCCTTGTGCATGAGAACATGCCGTGTAGAAGAGAATAAATGTGTCACACGAAGAGTATGTCATATTTTTTTCTATGATTAAGAGTCCAGGGAACACAATATGTCGACTTGTAGCCTGGCACACGTTGGAATAACTTTTTTTTATTGCAGCTGCAAATTTTAATGTTCATAAAACACGGCAGCTTAGATTAAGTTGCATGGCTATGGGAATCGATTCATATTCTCCTTGGATTTTAGTCTTGTGATAATGCAGTGAAGCATGAAGCGTCTTCATTGTTTTTTAAGTGTCAAACATCAAGAAAGTCTTCATGTCCACATGCTTGATTACCTCCCCAAGATCAGAACACGCAAAGGGTTCACAGGGAACAGCCATGTGAATTGTTAAGTCACATGAGATCGTAAAGTGAGTCAGACTCTCATGGATAGAATTTGTGATTTGTAATACAAAATGTATAGGATAATTTGTATGGTGTTTTGATATTTGGATTGGTGGAAGGAAAGATGAAAGAAAGAAAATGTAACGAGGGGAAAATAAAGACGAGGTGAATGAAATAAAAAAGTGCTTATTGTAACTGATAAAACACGCTGTCATTGAAACTTAATATTGATGAATGAAGCCTAGAATAATGTATGACTTGTTTTGCTTTTGTTGTGAATGCATGCTGCATTGGTAGAAAGAAAATAAGAAAGTGAAAAAAATCAAAGAGAAAAGAAAAAAGATAAAAGCTGCATAAATGAGATGGAAGTCATTAATACACCAGTGAATATTGACAGTTGAAAACGAATAAAAAATACAAGGGCTTGATTTTTAGATAAAAGTGCACTGCGTCACCACCATTGTCCACCTTTGAGAACATTTCCTCTCCTCACAACACAACCAGACATTGAGGAAGACATCAAATGGCATTCCACATCATTGTAATTGGCCATCTCGACCAGTTGGTCAGTCGGTGGAATGACCACAGGCGCTCCGTGCAGCTGCACCTGCTGATGGATCAATGGACGTTTACTAGACTTGATGTCTTTCCACTCACAAAACAACGTTTATTCTTTTCCTAGAGGGCTCACCAATTGTCCATTATTTGGTCAGTCATGTGAAGCACCCAGGTGTGATAGTTTAATAAAATATATAGATATTGTGATGTTATTTATCCTTTTCATGAAAAGGGTTTTATTTCTTACTGTTCACTTTATTGAAAGAAAGTACTGTCTGTGGCCATTTATTTTTCATGTGTGTTGTGGGTATTGACAGAGGTATGGAGACATGTTTCTCATCTCATGGATAGAATGTTGTGATTGTGATAGTAAATGGAGTGTCAGGATAAGTGTTACAATGGGTGATTGGCAGGATTGTTTTTAATTTTTGTATTATTTGATGAACATTTTCTGACAGTCAGTGATACATGTAGGTCTGTTTTATGAAGTACATTTTCACAAGATGTAAAGGTGTGCAAAAACATATCTCTAGTCAAATATATTGATTGAAGAGATGTTACATTTAAACATCCATCTTAGTACAAAAGCAGTATGCTAACCAACAACAAATAGTATGTATGGTGTGACATCTAAGTCAATTCACAGATAGTGCATGGTGATTGGGGGGGGGGGGGGGGGACAAAATGAATTACATTGAATCACTATGGTGAGCTTATCATAATTAGACAGTTTTACCTTACAGTAGCTGTGGGTGGGATAGCAGAAGGATAAGATTGGTTCCCGATGGCCATTTTATCAAAATCAAAGGGGACCAGCTTCACAAAAAGAAAAATTTAAGAACGAAAATTGGTTTGAACATTTAGGCTTCGTTCACATGGAAAGTCTATTTTCTAAAAATCTATTTTCTATTCGCGGTATCTTATGATCACGGTCTGTGCCCTGAATATCCTGCGGCGTAATTACTGGCAGCGCGAGCCAGTTACTTATACAAAGCTGTAATTAATTCTTGGCTGTGCTCGCATTCTATAAAATCTCATCCTCCGTTGCCGCATCGCTTGCCATCGGATCATGACGGTTGCACTAGTATCTGTACAGCCGAGAATTAATTACAGCTTTGGAAGTAACTGGCTCGTGCTGCCAGTAATTACGCCACGGGATATTCAGGGCACAGACCGTGATCACAAGATATGCCGCGAATAGAAAATAGATTTTTAGAAAATAGACTTTCCATGTGAACGAAGCTTTAGACAAAAATCTTGGTCTACTCAGACCCAATATAAATAAGTGGTGGTCTAATAATCATAAAGATGAAATATTGTCCCCATCTTATAAGAAAGATGTGGCCTCTGATTCATACCAGAAGTTCTACTTTAGTCGACTACTGCACATTGATCCTTACTGGAATCAGTAGGACAATTTTTGGCCCACAAGAAAATATCAACTTTTGGTCTAAAGTTAGTTGGTGTTACCAATCCATGGTTTACTGTGGCTGGATAAACTAAGGTAAGCTGTCACAACCCAAATAGAAATGGGCCTTAAGATGCAGCTCGGTCATAGCATTTGTAATCCAGTTTTCTGTCTTGAATAACCTTCAGAAACTGGGCCTCTGCCGCATTTCCATTGTCGAATATAATTATGTCCTGTAGTAATTACAATTAGGTAGTAGTCATTAGTCAATCACTTAAAATATCCATTTCAGTCATTTGTACAAAGTATCTCCTTTCACTAGCCACAGGTCATCCATCGATTTATGTGAGAAAGGAGCTAGAGGCTTTTGTTTCAGATTTCTTGTTTCATTGATAAACAATTCTTAGATTTTTAGACTAGACGTCAACTAGTACAGTTGGAGAGTCATTTTACAAACAAAGGCACAAGGGTCATAATGCATGTAGGCAGGTGTGATGGGGTGGGGGTTACAAATCGCCCTTTTGATTGGAAAAAGTTCCACTCTGAATCAAAGTTTGGATTTAGATTCTGTGCCATTTCTCATTTTTGTACAATGTTTTTTTTTTCCTCGGGAGGTTGCTAGTAAAACAGGACTGGGTATTTAGCAAAAATGAATGAATTTGAAATACTCCAGTTAAAAATGGACCAAACAGAACTATTTGTGGATATAAAGCAAAATGCCTGCATGTTTGCGAGTCATGAACATGAAGGTATAAATACGGGTATTATTACACAAAATATTCAGATTTTACGTTATTTTTATAAATTTACTGGTCAGTGAGAACTGGGAACAGTTGGAGAATTAAATTGTAGGGTAAGTGATCGGTAATGGTGTACTGATGGGCATTTGAAAAATTCTATATGACGTGAGAAAGAAGTGCTCCTACAGTACCTGTGCCATTATCAAAATGTCCTTGCTTGTGGAGCAATTGCAGCATGAAAAAACATTTTTGTGGAAGTAATCATTTTTCAAAATAACAGTATTATGATATAATGAAGCAAAATACTGGATGTAGACACTCTTGGTGTATTTCACAATATACAAATACATGTTAAAGGATTTCAAAGCATAAATATTTATACAGAAGTACCTTAAACTAAAATATACAAGTATGCCAGAATCTTGTATTTTATTTGCCAAGTACAAACTTAATAATCCTCCCTAGTATTCCAGGCCAAATGTTGTGAAGCTATATATATGCAGTGTAAATCCATGAGAGTTTCTTTAACCACAACCAAAATATGAATGTTATGCTTTTGTTAGTGTGCAACTTCAGTGGTCACATGTAGTCGTCCTCAGACAGATGTCCATGCAGTTGATTGGCCGTTTTTGTTTCCTTAAAGTTAACATCGATCTAAGACACACCCAAACAAATAATCCCAGTCATTGAATTCATTTTCTTCATAGAAATCCCCAACTTGTGATGAAGGTCACTGATGTTGAATGGTGTGTAATGACAAAAGCATGTGGTTAAAGAACTTCCCATGGTAAATACATGTGCAAAATGCAAGCAGATAAACCACTTCAGATAATATACATAACTCCTGGTAAAATGAGAAAATTGGTGCATTGAATCTGTAAATGTTGAAGAGTATTCATGAAAATTTAGTTCTACCCCCTTTGAACTTAAATATAGTTCTGTCCAAAGCTCATTCAGACTTGATCACAACTAGAGATGTAATACCCCCTTTACACTGGACGGCGTCCTTTCTGCGACCATGGAATTTGACATCGCTGTGGTCTTAATAAGGAGGCACGAGCATTGATTTTGTATCAGAATGAATGCTCAATGATCGGCCAGTTGTCGGCACGTAAAGTATTATATTTTTAAACTCAGATGGGGCCGTACTGCTGGACGCAGAAAGTACGCCGTCCAGTGTAAAGGGGGCTTTAGGTGATGCGATTGGCAATCCCTACCAGTACTCTTTCTAAGGTCTTACAGTAGACAAGCTAGTCAACAAGGTTCCAAACAGTATAGCTCCAATTTTCATAAACATTCTTTAAAATGTAGGTTTCTAGTACATCTATGAAGAAAGAAACAATGATAATTGAACATCTGAGTGTGCCTGCATGTTGTTTTCAAATTTCATCAATTATGTTTTTAAAAAAATTACAGGTTGAATCTCTTCATACATATTTTTTTGTCAGCACTGAACAATATCATACAAAAACTGACTGCTCTGAAACATTACCATTGAGATTTCTAATGTAAATCTTGATACCATCCCATTCAGTGTAAAAATGAAGATATAAATACCCCTCAACTTTTTGACACATAAAAGCTTTACTCCTGTACAGTTGATAAATACATGTATAGCTTATAATACCAATAAAACATGAATTTTTTTTAGAATTTCATTCTCTCCTATGGGTAGATCTCTGTCTTAAAACAAAATACTGTAACAATAATAATCGATAGACAAAAATGCGCTAAATAAATTGAAGCTATGTAATGTTCTTTTATGAAAAAAAAAGTCTCACATATATCTATACAAACATATTTGCCATCATGTCCTTTGAAGGAAGAACACAACCATTCTGGTTACTAAAGCTGTAGTGCTCGACTTAACACAATAGTTTATATTTCAGGCTGCTAAATATGAATCATAAAAGTTAGGGATGTGCCCTGGGCTGGCAAGCACATCAAAGAAATACTCTTTGTTTATGAGTTGGTTGTAGTCAGATATGAAAAACATGCTTCACATTTGTAATCAATTTGACATTCACATGAAAAATACAGACTAACGTATTACTGCTGAGGTCACGGTATTTTGGTCTGCATTTTTTTTTTAAATAGTTGATGAAATAGTATATAGAAAGAATTTGTGGAAATAAATAATTTGAATTTTTTCATATTAAGTATTATATTTGAACTATGTGCGCCATAATTTTGAACTCTTTAAAGTATTTAAAAATATGTATTAATTTTCTGCAAATTTTCTTTTTGTGAAATTGGCTTTTATTATGGTTTTCGTCTGTTTTTGCCATGTGTCCTTATTATGATTTCTTGTATCAAGTAATTAGACAAACATTATGAGTAGTACTCTCAGGGTATACCCAGAAGTCTTTCTAAAGGTTTAAAGTATAGCTTTTATCAATAGTAGCAGTAGTAATAGTAGTAGTACATGTATTTCACAGTACAGGGGGTTCCAAATTTCAAGACAGCTGCTTTTCACAGCCTTTTTAAATAATTATTCACGATCCATTATTATTATTATTATCTATTTAAAACACTTGTTGATGTTGAACTTGGTGTTATCTTCCTACTTGAAAATCAAGAAGATGAAAATTGTTATAACATGAGGGCAACTTGGGAAACATTACTCATTATCTTTGGTGATCAAATCTTTCAAACTAGTATTTGGGAACAATCTTTTTTTCAATATGAAAGAAATTTTTATACAAATGTGTGCAAAACATTGAACAGACAGAAGTAATCTTAAGTGTTCTACATAAGAAGTGCAGTGAACTTTCACTGGTATGCTCAAAGGTCTACAACCTACTACATGGCATTTTGAAAATCACAGCAATAGTTCATAATAAACATAACGTGATTTGAAGTCAGGTCTTCAAAGGACTACTTCACATGTTGGCAGTCTGTTTTGTCGACAAATGTAAGCTTACTCGATAATTACATTAACCTATGTACTTCCTGGCTAAACCTCTGTTCACATTCCATGAACTATCTCTGTTAGCAATTTTTGAGGGATGTTTGTTAACTTTCAAAGGGATGAGAACAAAAATTGCTGAAAATGGAGGAGAACCCTCTAGCTCCCCCGAATTTCATTTTTGTGAATTTATCATTGAAAAATCTATATTAAAGTTTCTTCACACCCTTTTACAATTAAAAAGGAAGACGTTCCCAGATTTCCACAAAAGTGATTATTGCTAGTGATGAGGATTTGCAATTCTTAATTTTATTTTTGAATAAATTTCTGTCTCATTGACTTATCTCATGGCTGCAGCATTTGTTCATAGGCAGCAAGAACAAATTCTTACAGTGCAAAAATAGCATATTAAATTTTCCTGAAAATATATGTATTTCCATACAAATAACAGTGACAGGTTCAGATAATAAATCGGCCATGATGGGCCAATGTAGGGCCACTTGCTGCAAGGAATGGACCAGTATAGGGGCCAAGGGGTATGGGTTATTTGGGAATATTACATTTTAACAAAAGAGTCGTTAATGGTTACTTGGATTTCACATCAATAATATAAATATTTATATTCCATATCGATCGATCACATAAAAGAAAGCTAACGTTTTTCAGGTACCATTCGTCACCTGTTAATATAAAAAACTACTTGTCATAAATGTGGCCAATCTTTTCAAACATTATGTCAGACTTATATTATATACTGGCGCTTCTGTTTCTGTGAATAATTGTGAAATAAACAATGAAAAACTAAAAATGAATATTGACATGCTTGTATCTGATACAGCTAAAACGTGTCTGATTCAGTAAAGTTGGTTGTTTTAGAGGACGCCTTTTCCTGTCTATAATCGGTTTTTACACTGAAAGCTGTAATCATTTAGCTCAAATATTATGGCACTTGAACCTTCTATATGTGGGTCAATATATACAAAGTGACTGAAGACACTTTCTCTAATTGGCTTATAATTAACATGACACAATGATGATGGCGCTTCATAAACAAAAGCTAAAAACATGTAACAGGCAAAGGAAGAAGAGTAAAACAGCATTTAAGTACTTTTTATGTAATATTTTGATTTCATAACCACACATTGCCGTCTTTCTTGCCATTCTGTTGTTGTTGGAGGGGCTTCATAGGCTCTTGCAGTCCAGTATTGTCACTGCCCCTAACAATACCATACTGATTGTGATGATGACAGTTCCGCCTTCGTGATCGTCGTTTTCTGTGACATACGCACGCGATGATGATAACAAGGATTATGAGAACTGACACGGCCGCTACAATAATGTAAATGATCATTGTATTGAATACTTCACTACACATATCTGGAGATGGACGGTAATACATCACCGGTCGTCCCTTCCACTCAGGCGGAGAACTACATACATGGGCGTCCATTTTGCCTAAAGAAGCTACAGAAACACCTGTAGTTTCCATCCAGCTGCGGAGTTCAAGCAAATTGCAACTGCATGCAAAAGTATTATGAGATATGTCAAGCTCCTCTAGTGAAGATAATTCTTTGAAAGTTGCTACAGGAAATGTCCGGAAATTATTACAAGAAAGATTTAAATATTTTAGGGAATGTAAATTTTCAAGCAAAGTTTCTGATATATTTTGCATAGAGTTTTGACTAAGATCCAAGCTGGAAAGAGATGTGATATTTTTGAACAAGTTGTTGTTGAGCACTAGAATGTTATTGGCGTCAAGGTAAAGAGTCTTGAGGCTGCGGAGATAATTGAAAAGGTATGCTTGGCTGGCCGACTGGAGCATACCACCAAGGTTATTATCACTCAAAATTAAGTTTTCTAAGTTTTGGAGGTCCTTGAACACCTCCGGGTGGATATCTTGGAGTGAATTCTTGCTGAGGTCTAACACCTTCAGCCAACGCAGCCCAGCAAATGCATCATTTGAGATGCTTCGAATGCCATTGTTTTTCAGCATCAATGCGTGGATTTCTTTGTGTGTCCAGCCATAGTTCTCCAAACGAGTAATTTTGTTGCTGGACAAATCGATGATATCTGGTGCATGAGATGTAAATGTATTTGCAGATACCTCTGTAATAATATTACTGCTGAAGTTCACACTTTTTAAATTGTTAGACCGAGAAAAGAGATCAGCTCTGAGAGCCTGAAGCCTGTTATGACTGACATCCAATAAATTGAGCCGAGACAATAGGGGAATTGAGCCCAAGTCTGTAAGACTATTTCCACTCAGATTGAGGGCCTCCAGGCTCTCCAAGGACGAACTTATCTCAAAGCGCTGGATGTAGTTCCGAGTGACATCCAGAGACTTTAACTCCCAAAGCTCTTCGAAAGGACCATCAGTTATCTCTCGGAGCATGTTATAGGAAAGATCCAAATCTGTCAAAGCTTGGAGCTTTTCAAAGACAGTATCATCCAGATTGCTGATGAGATTGTGTGCCAATGACAGCTTCCTCAAATCTGATAGTCCTGTCATGTCACCAACTTCACTAATGAGATTGTAGCTGAGGTCCAGTTGACTTAAGTGGTTCAAATAACTGAACCCCCTCAAGCCCAGGGAGCTGATATCATTATGGGATAGATCTAAATACTCCAGCCCTGTCAGCTGCAGGGTGCTGAAGATTTCTGACGGGGCAGAGATATTCATATATGACAATGTCAGTCTCTTCAGACTAGCTGCTTCCATTTGTTTGAGAGCATCCCGCAGGACTGGGGTGGGAATCCCAGTATTTCCAGACAAGTTGAAATCCACCAGGTAGTAGAGCTTCTCGAAAGTGTCAGCATGGATGTACTTAATATTACAGTTTGACAGATTCAGGTACTTGGGAATGGATTCCCACCACAGCATGGTTTGGAATACACTCCCATCCAGTCTCTCCATGCGGTTTCCAGTAAAATCCAAAATCTGGAGCCGTTTTGTGAACTGAAATGTGGGGCCAAGGGTAGGATTGGTGATCTCATTATAACTGACATTGAGCACTTTGAGTTTTGTCAAGTAGTGCATGCAGTCATTGGGTACTGCACTGAAGGAGTTAAAACTGAGGTCCAAGTGTAAAAGAAGACGTGTCGGGTCAAATAAATCTCTCGGAAGCGATGTCAATCTGTTATGTCCCAGTTTGAGCACTTGAAGGTTATCCAGACCTTTAAAAGCATTGGGCTCCAGCTTCCTCAGCTGGCTGTTCTCTAGCTCCAGATACTTCAGCTGATTTAAGTTCTGAAACGAGTTGTTCTGGATGACCTGGAGCTTGTTTCCTGACAGGTACAGCCGCTGCACCGAAGTTGGCAATGTCGGAATAGAGGAGAGCTGTAAATTCACACATCTGACAACTGTGTCACGTTTTTCACACACGCAGTTTGTTGGACACGTCATCGAAGACTGAGTAACCCAGCCTACCAATATGTGAATAAAAACCCAAAGAGAAATTTTCCCGAACCGCTTTGTTGCTGTTGTTGTCGGCATTTTCCTTTGTGTGTCGCAGACTTGTCTTTGCTCATTCTGTGCATCCAAGCGCAGCGTCTACCCTCTCCTCATAATGTGACATCAGTTCATTAAGCACAGAGTCCTTCACTATATTTCCATGGCGCAGATAGTTTGTCCTCTGGTTCAGTGATTGCCTTCTTCTTGTTGCTACTGACCCAGGGAACTGTCGTCTTTATCCCCTTGGTAAAGTGATGAATCTGGAAATAATAAGCAAAGTAATAGTATCAGGCATTGTGCTGCAATCATTCATGCGGCAGAATTGCCAGGAGGGAGAAACCCCATCACTTTACGATCCATCAATTCATGATTTCTAATAAATAAATTGCTTCAGTTAGATGACTGCGCTTTGTTTCTGTTTCTCTGTGTGAGTGTTTTTTTTTTTTTTCCTTAACAGGGAAATGATACACCAGTGCTTTGTTATTAGGTTGCTGGAATAAAAACATATCATGAACAGGAATACATTATTTAAAGTTTTCTTTTTTTGATTAAATGGTTTGCATGTTAGGTTCAGTGTATTGTATAACTTAACTACTATGATCTCCATGCTTGATGTAGTTTTATACTGACAAAAATCTTTTTTCCTTATTTATTCTTATTCTTTTTTCCCCTTATTACTACAACTGTATGTGTTTATGTGTATTGGCATTAATTTTCATAATGTATAGACAGGCCCGTAGCCAGGGGGGTTCAAAAGAACGGCTCCTTTTGTCAGGAAAAGGTCCACTTTGGGTAAAATTTGATTTAGGTACACGTAAGTTTCATTGAAATGGTCCACTTTTTCAGAAAAAGAACCCCCCTTTTGAATTTGCTGGCTACGGGCATGATAGATCTCTTACATGCAAAAAGCACCTTTACCTTTGAATACACATCTAACATATAGTGCTAAATTATTTTGAAATATCTACTTACATAAATTGCCAATATAAATTGCCAAAATGCATCATCAATAGAACACAAAAACAAATGTCCAGGTATCCTTTACCAAGGCTTACACTCACTCCATCAAGTTATAAACTAAAAAATATCCCTTGAATAACACATTCAAGTTAGCTACTTTCTACTTGTTGAAAAGCATACCAAGTCTTAAATCTCTTGTTGATTAGATACACAACACAAACACTGGTTTTACTGACTCAAGAAGTTGTAACAACTTCTTGACTGACCCAAGCATTTTTTGCCCAAGGCTACAACTTAACAATTTTCATACTGCAAATATGACATATCTAATCTTTAATAAAGGAAAATACCCTTCACAAACATATATATATTTACACCTAGTAGTACCCTTACACACCCATCATACTAATATATATATATATATATATATATTCAGTTTGGTGTATACAGCTAAGGAATACATTGTTCACACACACACACACACACACACACACACACACGTGTGACTGTAATTACCAGAAAACACCACAGGACAGCCTCTTCATGATCCAGAGGCATCTGCTTCAGTTACCAACCCCTTACATGTGTCTGCTTATTTACTCCCATTACTTCCCTTTACCTCATTTTTTGAGTTTACAAGCCAGCTGAAAAAACTTTGTTGACTTAAAACCACTCTTGCTGATCTCGCTTCCTTGCTTTGCTGGCTTCCTCTTCCTAAATCCATATAATAGGATTACAGCATGAAGCTTAATAATATATTATTTCTACAGAATTAATCTGATTTTATCACATTAATTTCATTTCCGTATAAGGGTAAAAGCTGTAGAAAACAGTTCTCTTAGATAAAATACCTATACAGAAGAAAATGTTACCTGATGTTATGGCCCCTATTAAGTCATCTTTCAAACTAACAAATCACAAAACCTGTGAAGACAAACAATTTCAAAGATAAAACAATACATAATAACTATAATTACCACCATTAACAGGCACTGTGTTATATAATTATAACTGGAATTTCTACTATAATAAATTGAGTCTACACCAAACCTATATATGCAAAACAATTACATAGTTATTTTCCTTACCAAAAAAGATGAACACCTTTTCCACAGCCAGGAAAACTATATATATCAATGATATCATTGTGATCTATGTCAAATTTGAAGCTGAAATCGTCTGAACTTCCCACTACCATATTTCTTTACTCTTTCTCAGACTGGAGGAGCCCTCTTATATGCCAGCTGAGACAGTTGTCCTTTGAAAGAAAGAGATAGGCAGCCTTCACGTATCATCCATTTGCATTGCTATGTGGCACATCATTTGTCTGCATTATAATGTACTTATGGAGAAATGTGGCAGTTCTGGGGTATTTTCCCCATAGGGGCAGTTAATTCATAGATATGTCCCCCCCCCCTGCCCAAACACACACCCAAAATAGTTTTTTTCACTTACAAGAAAATACCAAGTAAGTTTTTTATCCCAGACTTTTTTTCACTAAAATCTAGAAGTGATTCCAAATTGTTTCTGCGACTTTATAAAATATGAAATAAACCAAATAATTAGTTATGGAATAAAAATGTTATAGCCATGCTTCAGAAATAGGTTATTTTTATTTATTTTTTATGATATAATTAATGACACAAATTTTATTTGGGGGGTGACTTTGAATCAGTCTGAATCAAGTTGAAATAAAATAAAAATGGATTTTGTTTTGACCAAATGAATTTTTTTTTTTTTTTTTTTTTTTTTTTTTTTTTTTTTTTTTGATAGTTTATGACTAAGCATATTGACTTTATATTAGTCATGTAAGAAACTAGCAGAAGTGGTTTATACGCATTGGAAATCCATGCATGCTTTATATGTATCTTAAAAATGTATTTTGAACATTGTTGGAGACGGACTGTTAATGTCACTCGAACAAGAAAAAATAACTAATTATTACTGCAGAGTTTTGGGACATTTAGTAAATTTAAACTTTCAAGCTAAGATTCTTTAAAAGCACCGGGCTGGCATATAACTTCTGTGCTTTTATCTCTTTATTCCTTTTTTTTTTTTTGTCTGTTGATTGTTATGTTTACCTGTTTTAAAAATTAAAATAATTAAAAAAGGATGATTATCTTAGTTATTTAAATAAATTAAGATTTAGAGGCAAATGTTCATCAATGAATTTTTAAAGATGTCTATTAATAATTTTATGCTTGCATGGAAGGTCCTAACAAGACTGTACTTAGCCAGTTATATAGGTACAAGTCCCAATCAATGGTGTTTGCGAACCTTCGATACAACGAACTAATAACAGATTTTTGGAACCCTTGATCGACAAAAAGGGTAACTTATATTTAAGTTATTAAATACATCATAATTAAGTATGTTACTATAAAACTAATGTAGAAAAAGATCTGGGGAAATGAGGTCTAATCAAAGTCAGTTTAGATCCCTAAAAAAAGCATATATCAACTAAGAAATTTTGTTTTAATAAAATACTTGTTTTAGCTCATTTAAAATAATATCAATTTCAATTGAGAATAGTTCTTAACTTAATTTTGTAAGAAAATTGAAGCAAATGTTTATTGGTGAATATTCAAAGATGTCTATAAATAATATTATGCTTAAATAAAAAGTCAGAACAGAAACAGTATTATTCATTATAAAGATGAAAGGTACTCACAGAAAAGGTATTGTGTTTACCCTATAATTATCGTTATTTTTGAAACCCCTGACCTCAAAGGGGGTGGTTCTAAATAAACATTATGTGATTGATGTCAAATTAATTTAACATGTCCTTTTCACAGGAGATATAAACTAATTTGGGGGCATTCCCTGACCAAGGTATTTTTCATAAGTTTTTTAAAAACTTTCTGCCGAAGGAAAAAAATCCTCCTAGCCAAGTCAATGCTTGGCCAGTAACTGCACTTGAGCTCTGATACTTTGAACCAGTTCTAATTACATAATTTACTTCTAAACAAACCATTATTGCCACTGACATTGCCATGGTTTACTGGTGTTTCAGAAAGAAATATCGACCTCAAGGTGCTTTTTACATAAAGGAGTTTTAATAAACATTTTAATGTCTGAATTGGGAAAGAAAAGTAGCTTTGCAGGATATTTTGACATTTTTTTTTATTTTGGGGCACAGTAAGCTTTTAAGGTAAGTGTTTAAAAACACTAAGCATATGATAATGGTGTTAGGCCATCTTGAACACCTATCAGACTGAGTATTAGCATAAGAAATAAAAGAAAATCTAAACTCTGAAGAAAAGACTTTTTTTACCTCTGCAAATAATATAAAAATTAATTAAGAACAATTGTTAAATTAATTTAGTAAAGAAATAGACGCAAATAGATATCACTGAATTTTCAAGCATGTCTATCAATAATTTTATGCTAGCAAGAGGAGTCCTGCCAACAAACACTATACTTATCATTATGAACTGGTGAAGCACATAGATACCTGGCTAATACTGATCAATGCATTAAGAACCTTTAATTATAGCAGGAGTTTTTGGAACCATTGATTGCAAAAAGGGGTGACATTGTATGAGAACTATGTTATGAATTAAAATTATGGATATAACAAGGGTCAATTCATGGATCTAATTTCAGAATGCTCTTTAAGATTACCAAACTTGTTAATGTTACTATACGCTTGAAGTGGAAAGTTATTTTGCATTTTTAAGAATGTTTCTTATCCAAAGAGTCTGTGACTGCACTTATAAATAATCAAGCTTTTTAAATTTTATTTAAGTAATTGCTGAGCTTAAAACTGAAATTTACTCACATCTTCTGGCTTTTTGTATGTTTATATTTTATGTCCAAAGTGCCTATGAAACTGCAACCTTACTAAGCTTGAAGTGAAAAGTTATCAACTTATTCTTTTTTTTTTTAATTTTGTAAGTGTTTAATGTCCAAAGTGCTTTTTACATATGATTTTCATAAACATTTGATGTCCTTGAATTGAAAAGTAATAACCACAGGTCTACTGAGGTAACATGTAAGGAGATGGGTGTGGTGTAAATTCTATAAAACAGCTTGTTTTTCTTCTTTTTTATTTCAAAGTCCGATGATTAAAGTTGAATTGATCCTGGTATAAGAGAAGAAGTGATCTGTTTTTTCAGAAGGATTCTTCTGAAAAAAAGTAAATGACTAAAAGAGATAAGTAGCTGGCATTTAGAAAACTAATCCAAAATACCTGTTGGAAAAGTATCGGGTTTGTCGAAAAAATAAATAGGGAAGAAATAGGCACGTCAAGCTCCATTTGTGAGATATAAAGTGAAGCTTTCAATCTGCTGGTTCTAAA